TGAATGAAGCTCCTAAAAGCAGTTATGCTTATGTACAAGTCACTATGGTAACGTATTTTCTTTACTCCTAGGTAAATATCTATGATTAAGATTCTGAGGTTAGATGGTGACTATTTTCTACCTCACCTAGATTTGGTATGGTTGGAATCTTTAATTTTAGCCATTATTTTGGGTGTGTAGTGATATTTCTGATTATAATCAGAATTTCCATTTCCCTAATAGTAATAATGTTGACTGTCTTTTCTTACACTTTTTACCACTTGTACATCTCATACGAATGCTAAATGCTTGTTCAAATCAATTGCACATTTTCAAATTTAGTCATTTGTCTTTCCATTATTACTAGTCAAAGTTCTTCATATATTCTGGATATGATTCTTTTCAGATACATGCCTTGCAAGTATTTTCTCCTAGTTTGCTTGACTTTTCTAATTTGTTGAAGTTACTCTCAGTGAAGCATTGGTAAGTGAAAATCCTAATAAACCATACATGAAAAATGTGCTTGAAAAATTTTATGAATGAATCTGAACACTCATGATAAGTTTCATGTGTACCTATCATGTGCAAAGACTATAGTCTATTCTTTTCTCTCTTTTTTTGTGTGTTACTAGGGTTTGAACCAGGGCCTCAAGCTTTCTAGGCAAGTGCTCTATCACTAAAGCCATTCTGTCAGCCCTATGGTCTGACAGAATCAAGTGCAAAAGAAGACAGGCATCACTTCTGCTTTTCATTAATGTTGTAATTGCCTCTACGAATCTAGGAGCTATAAGAGAAGATCCAATTCCTGAAACCAAGATTATGGAGGCCTTGAGTGAAAACTCCAAATTTTTCATACCTTTCTTCTAACCTCTTCTAATCTGTATCTATTATTATGTCATGCCATAGGTGAAGCTTCCTTTTTGCTTGATAATATTCTCCTTCAATCTTTAACTTTTTTTATGGTGGTACTCAGGGCTTTGCATTTGCTAGGCAGGTGCTCTACCACTTAAGCCACTCTGCCAGTTCTCAAATTTCTTTCAGTAAAGCAACAGCAGGTTTTGTAAATGCCACAATGTGCACCCAGCACAATAAAAAAACAAATGAACAAAAAAAACTCACCAGGGGCTGGAGTCATGGCTCAAGTGGTAGAATGCCTGCCTAGCTCAAACCAAAGTACTGACTAAAAAAAAAAAGTTTAAAAACAATAACAAAAGAGTCTTCTTCAAGATTACTCCCTCATCATCTCCTAGTCACCTTCACTGGTTATCCTCACATCTCAATTTATCTCCTTTACATTGTTCATTTTCTCAAATATCAGGTAGCCAAGTGGGATGTGGTTGGCTCATATTGAGTGGGGCTAGTTAACACTAGGCTTGAACAGTTCTCCGTTTACATATCAGTATTTGCTCCTCATGTCAACAGGCAGCCGCAGACAAGGACATTGTATACCTTTCTGAACCCATGGTGCTCTTGATCTGCCTTTGGTACCAAAAATTGCATTGGGCACTATGATTATTTTTCCTATCTCTAATCCAATGGATTCTTTCAAGTACTTAATTTATTGACTCCTAGTCACTTTCTGACCCCTCCTTTTAGTCTCTTTTTGGCCTCAAAATCATTCTTCTGATTTTCTATTTTTGACCATGCCTCCACAGAATTATTGTAATTAATTAAATTAATTCATCTCCAAGCCTCTGAGCTGTTAATTTTGATCAAGATTCAGTACTTACATCTTTTTAATTTTAACCCCTTGGTTTTCAAGCATTATCATGAGCATTCACTTTCCTTTTTTGGGGGTGGTAAAGTTTGAACTCAGGACTGATCATTTGAGCCACATCCCTGCCTTTTTCCCAGAGTGGGCCTCATAACTTGATCCTCTTACCCTGACCACCAACCAAGCTGACTTTGAGTGCACCATCAAATATAGAATGTGTTTTGAAATAGAGTTGTACAAACTTTCCCCTGAGTTGGCCTTGACCCACAGTCTTCCCATTTGTTCCTGCACAGCCAGGTTTACAGGCACGCAAAGGCATGCCGAGATCATTGTATAACTGTCACATCTATAAACCGTATCTGCATACACATATGTCTAAGCAAAAATAGTAAAAAAACCAAAAAAAAAAAAAAAAAAAAAAAGCTTGATTTAGAATGATTTTCTACTACCCACACTGTTTTTGTTCAAAGTCCTCTATTATTGTTCAAGTGCATGCAATTTCATCTTTATTATAAAGATGAGAAAACTGAAATTCAGAGTACTTCAAATAACCAACTGGACACAAAGCTAGTGAGCTGGATTATCCTTTACCTGGCTAATGTCCGTCATCCCACTTTCTACTACTACCCATCAGATGTACTGCCTGTTTTTGGAGCCTTCCCTATCAACAGTTTGGATTATGTAACTATTCTTCACTAGTTACCCAATGTACTTTATGAATAACTGAAATAAATGTATGTTAAAAGAATAAATAAACCATCTTTAATATTCCATGAAAATTTGGCTACATGGAAGGAATGTACTGTGTCTATTTTTCATAAAAATGAATACACTGCATTCTTACAAAATTAGTCTCTCAGAAATCCTACCAAGTATGTTACTGAAAAATTTCAGTTTTGTTTTTTTCTTAACCCTGGAAACCAAACAATAGCTTATAAGGTACTGAAGTCCAACCTGGTGAGGCTTTGTAGGGGCTTTGATTTCCTGATACCATCACACTTCTTTTTCAGAATTGCTATGTGTAAGGTGAGGAATAACTCATATGCCTATAATCCCACCACTTGGGAGGCAGAAACAAGAGAATTCCAATTCAAGGCCAGACTTGGCCACATGGAGAGATCATGTCCCAAAAAATAAATGGTTAATAAATAAATTTAAAATGCATAGGCAAGAGTGCCTATTTCTACTATATTATTTCTCCTATCTAATTAAAATCAAATGAATGAGGGCTAAGGGCGAGCTCAGTGGTAGTGTGTTCAGTTATCACACACACACACACACACACACACACACACACAAATGCACACACAGAATATATTAAATGTTAAAGAACAAAGGACACTGACATTGAAAATATATCTAGGGGCCGCATGTTGGGGCTCGTGCCTATACTCTGTTATGCCAGAGGAGTTATGCTAGGGCCACAGTTCAAGGCCAGGCATGCAAAAACATAGCAAGTATCCATTCTCAACGAATAAGATGGGTGTGATGATGGCACACACATATCATCCCAATTATACCAGAGGTATAAATAGGAGGATCAATATCCAGGCTGGTCTGGAAAAAAATTTGAGACCCTATTTGAAAGATAACAAAGCAGAAAAGGCTATAGGCCTGGCTCACATGGTAGAGCAACTGCGTAGCAAATGGTAAGCTCTGAGTTCAAACCTCATTAACCTCCCTCCCCAAGAAAATACATGTAGGTTTTTGACATGTAGTTACAGTTTTGACATAGCCAGCTGTGGACTGATCATTACTCTCTCAAAACTTTAGCTTCCTAGTTTTCTTACTTGCAAATGAGGAGATTATAGGATCAGGACATCTTCATTAAAAAGAAATCAAGCAAGCCAGTGGCTCAAGCCCATAATCCTAACTACTCACAAGGCAGAGATCAAGAGGATCATAGTTCAAAGCCAGTCCAGGCAAATATTCAAGAGATCTTACCTCAAAAACACCCAACACATAAAAGGGCTGGCAGAGTGGCTCAAGTGGTAGAACACCAGTTCAAACCCTAGTGCTGTCTCCCCCACCACCTCAATGTCACGCATCATTGATTGCTAGGGGTTGAACTGTGCTTCCCCCCAAATTCATGGATTCTAACCCCTAGCACCTTAAGATGTAACTGAATTTGGAGAGAAGGCATTAAAGAGATAATTATGGAGACATGAAATCATATGTGTTGGCCTGCATCTAATGTGAAGAAAAGGATATTAGGACACAGATTTTCTGGGTGGACAGAGAAAAGACCGTGTGAGGTCACTCTAACAAGGTAGTAGCTCTCTGCAAGCCAAGGAGAGGACTTAAGAAGAAATCAGTTGCTGAGATATTGATTTCAAGCTTCTATCTTCCAGAGCAGTGACAAGATAAATTTCTATTGTTTTATCTGCCCAGTCTATGATATTTCAATATAATTGTCATAGCAAACCAATACAACCAGCATTTTAATACAACCACAGTGATAGGTGAAATAACCACTGGCTTTGGCATTAGAATCATGTCTCCAAATTGTGCATGCTTATAAAAAGAACCAACAAAGGCTTCTTAATTCCCCAACATGGAAAGAAGATATATAGTTTATATCCAGGAAAAATGATTACTGCAAGAGAGAAGCATTCACAGAAATTACCAACAGGAAATCATTAGAAACAATAACAACAATAATATCAGAAAATATGGGACTAGTTAAAAAAAAAATAGCTGTCAGTAGCTCTGATACCAGACTGCTTTTTTTTTTTTTTTAATCTCTAATTCTCAGAATCATCCAACAAAGAGATTTTTTTTTTTCTTTCTGGTACTAGGGTTTGAACTCAGGGCCTACACCTTGAGCCATTCTGCCAGCCCTTTTCTGTGATGAGTCTTTTCAAAAAAGGGTCTCACAAATTATTTGCCCAGGTTGGCTTCCAACCTGGATCCTCCTAATCTCTGACTCCTGACTAGTTAGGATAGTCACTGGCACCAGGCTAAGGAGATGTTATAAGCATATTAAACTTGAGAATAACTGAAAACTCAGACAAATTAGAGGACTTTTTCCAGAGCCACAAAACTAACTCATATTTGAAAATGACAACCATGTCCTCTTTTTCATACAATGTTCTGTTCTCACAATGCATCAAATGAACAGTAGTAAAATATACTACAGAATCTTATGTGGCCATTAAAATGTTTTTAAAAACCTCAGATTCTGGTTAATCCCCATACAGAACTACAATGTTCTTTATTTTCCCTTTCTCTGTTTCTAGGCTTTATTTAATGAGCACATACAGATTAAAAGTAAACACAAGAACGGTAAAAAATAAAAGGCACTAAATAAGGCCAAAAAGCAAACAAAGAAATGAGAAGGCCTTCCTTCAACTTAAATGAAGTGTGCTTCTGCCACCATGAGAGGTATATTGGGAATGTTTTTTAGTTCACTGTAGGAGGCCTAGAATTTAAACTAACAACACTGTAGTTTAGGATTATAATGTATTTAGCTTACCTTATGGCTTCTGAATCGATGTGCACAGGTGCAATTCTTTCCAACAGAAATTTGACCATCTCTAGAAAAGGATTGGTTGGCTGCTTAGGATTTGCAAGTTTCCGAGCTATTTCTCTCTAGAGAAAGAAGAGAGTTTTACTGTCAGTATAATTTACTTTCATGCTTTTCATAATAAAAATGATTGTAGGAATCACAAACATTTAAAGATTCAAAATCTGTCAAGCAAAAACAGTTTTTCTGTTTTACAACCTAACATTTATACATTGAGCAATCATCTCTTATCTCTCCGCAGGAAATGGTTTTACACCTTCGTGAGTATGTTTCTGAGCATTTCATAATTTGACAGAATACAGTATTTTCTTTCAGTTAATTCTTTTCTTAAAAATGGAAATAGTCAGCTAGGTATAATGGCATATACCTGTGGTCCCAGCTACTCAGGAGGCTGAGGTTGGAGAATTGCTTCAGCACAGGAGAAAATGTTTGAGACAAGCCTGGCAACACGGTGAGATCTGATCTCAAAAGAAAAAGTGGGGTGGGGAATGGGGCAGGGTAGGGAAATAATCAGAAGTAGATGGACATTTGCAAAGTTTTCAGTTTTGGAAGAGCACAGTTCTTGGATAAATGAGAACCATGAATCACCCTGGAATTTTAATTACTAATAACCTGAAAATCAGATAAATGCTGGGTATTCAATGAGTTCAAGTATCAAAATAACTGTCTCAATGTAGGTTCAAAGATGGGAGCATTACATTCCATTGCTGTTACAGGGAAAGACATTCTTGCTGGGCAATTAAAAAAATGTATTCATTTAAAAAAAAGTATTTCCCATGCACAGCAATCTCTATCATACCTTTTTTTCCCCTTTACCGATCAGAATAATTCCTAAGGGGATTTAATATCGTCCAGTATTTTTTGCATCTGGACTCAGTAAACTAGTAAAAATATATCAATTTCACCCAAAAAGAAATTTCCAAAGGATTAACTTTTATACTAAAGTGGTATGTGTATCATTCTCATTGTATTATAAAAAAATTCAATTAAAAGCAAACAGAAAGCAGTCCACGATTGCTACTAAATAGCATAAGCTTGTATCTATCTGCCCTTTCATTCATATTTCTCTACCTCTTCCAGGAGATTTAAGTATACTAACATAGAGCCACCAAGCCTGAATCTCAGATTTCTATGCACAAATGAGAGGCCACAAATGGTCATCCTCTATTCCACCACCACCTCCTCTGATATCCAGTCAGCCACGTTAGAAATGAGGTAGCCATTCTTGGCACACTCATCTAATTCCAACTTCCCCTTTACAACTCAACTCAGGAGTCACTTATTATAGAATAAGCCATTCCCTGACTTATTTCCTTGCCTGCCTGGGATGACTGATGCACTTTTGTATATGACTTTATCACAACACTTACCACATTGTATTCTCTATTGAAATACTTGCCTGCTTCTGTCACCTAATCTGTAATCTGGGTGAGATAACCAATTTTACAAAGTATTAAATTATTTAATGAATTATAACAGGGTAAGCTTGATCAAGGGCCAAAATAATATATTGGTTTCTGAAGATACAATTATATCAGAATAACTCTACAAGGCAAGTTCTTTGTTTAGTTTTGATTTTTGACACAGGGTGTAGCTTTGTAGCCCAGGTTGGCCTCAAACTTGCTAATAAAAATAAGGCACAGAAATACTGACTTAGTCACTACTGATTCACACTGCTAGTAAATGGTCTAGCTGAAATTCAGAGTAAGGACTGTGTCACTGAACATTAAACAAACTCCTTGGAAAAATCTTAAAATTTAGGAACTACCATCACAGAAAAGGCAAAGGAATGTAAAACAGTAAGCACAGCTGAAGCTATGGTAAATTTATTGTACTTGTGTAGAATCAAGATGTAGAAACACAAAATCTACAGTCTAAGTGGAATGTAATGCCATCGTACATCCTCCTGCACTGTTACCAACACATAAACACAAGCGCACACACACACTAACCCAGTGCGTTTCCTAATATTTCTTGCTTAAAATACTTTTAAAATTTTTCAAGACTGGAACTAGGACAAGGGGAAGGAAAATACTAAAGGTCCATTTCTATTAACCTCTGTTACTGAGTAATGTTCATCTCATGAAGTGAAGCACCACTGCTCTTTAGAAAAAAGATGATGTGGAGACACAAAGAAGGGGACTGAGAAAGCGCTCTAAAGATGGAATCAAAACTATAAAGAATGACAGAAACTAAATTTTGCATTTGTATATATTTTCTTTATTCTTATCCATCATAATGAAAAAGAATCAGGAGAAAAGGACAAGACTATCAAATCATGTAAGTCATATTCAGTAGACCATGGGGAGAAAGACAAGATGATAGAGATCCTGAAAATAGCAAAAACATATCTTATTATTTAAATTGAACTAGTAATCCTTCTGTCTCTGCCTCCTTAGTGCTGAAATTACGTAAGCGCAAAAATGGCTATTTCCCTCAATGTATAAAAGGTATTACATATGAGAACATAGAGAAAACTGAAATAATGTACAAAAGATACAAACTGCTAATAAAACAGCTAGGAAAGAAGGAACCATTACCAACCTCTTTCCAGTGCAAACGCAGCCTTGCTCTCTTCCTGATTCCTAAAACCAGAAGTGCTGATTGGCACTGTATTGGCCCATGAATTCATTCCAGAACATTTTGGTTACAAACATCTGTTTTCCATATACTTTTTAGATTTGGAAACTCTTAGCTACTTGTGGTCTGACAAATAAGGGGTTCAGGTTATAGCCTTTTTTTCAAAACACTCAAGCTCCATTCCTGTATTTGTTCAGACCAAAAGTGCCACTTGATTCCAGGTCTACAGTTCTCAAGCAGTACTTGGTTTGCGCAATTATTGCAGAGAATGATGCACTGCACCGAAAGAATACTACCGAGGATCTATGTGATGCCTGCAGCTCCACCGCTGTAACATGCTATGAGACACCACATGAAAAACTGCCCTTCCATGCAACTCCCTTAAACCACATGATCTCTGAGGAATTTTCAAGTTATTTCACTCCATGATCCAACCATATTAGTGGATTCTCTATAGGACATAAAACTGAACCTCTAAATGCTAAAGAAGTAATTGAAATCCTTAAGTGTTATCAGCAAACCAGCTGATAACTGCAAAGGTAGGGTCAAGCACAGTGGCTCATGCCTGTAATCTGAGCTGTTTGGGAGGTGGAGAGAGGATCATGGTTTGAGACCAGCCTGTGCAAAAAGTTAGTGAGACCATCATCTCAACAAACAAGCCAAAGGTGGTGACTTGTACCTGCAGCTGTGTAGGTGTGTAGGTGTGCAGCTGTAAAGCTGTGTAGGTGACATAAGTAGAAGAATTGTGGTCTAAGGCTGCCTCTGTGCAAAAAACACAAGACTCTATCTGAAAAATAACTAAAAACAGAAAGGACTGCAGATGTGGCTTAAGTGGTAGAGTGCCAGCATAACAAGCACAAGGCCCTGACTTCAAACCCCAATATCCCTCCCCCGCCAAAAAAGTGCAAAGGTGGATATAGTTTGGACAGCTGACACATCCACATTCTAAGGTCCAATAGGAGAGTGTTCTCTTTTCTAAATTGGCTGCCTCATACGTCCTTTTAAACACTGATCACTTTGGATCCCAAGATAAATAAAAAATACCTGTTCTCTACTCCCAGACCATTTTGTATATACATCTATTATAATCCTTATTTCTTCTTGCGTATTTAATTCTCAACTTTAATCATTTTTACAACAAGGTTATATATAAATAAGCCCAGTACTAAACATAACGTATCCTATTACAAGAGCTACCAGGTATTTAAATCTAGGACCCTGGGTGGGTGCAGTGGCTCAAATGGTAGAGTGCCTGCCTAACAAGCGTGAGGTCCTGAGTTTAAAATCCCAGTACTGCACAACCCCCCCAAAAAATATCCAGGACCCTAAATCAAGAAATGTACATAGTATATATAAAGCCCTATGACATTGTTAGGATATATAGGTGAAAAAAACAAAGCTCAAAAATATTGAGTAACTAAAGGTCACATTGGTAGTAAACAAAATGCTGAGAAAATGAACAAGTGAAGATTTCTTTCCTGAGAGTTTCAATAATAATGGCTTTCTATAAAATAAGGAGTCCAAGATCAGAATAAGAATAAAAGTTTATATGCGTTATTTGCCTTATCTATAAATGAAATCATGTATTTGATGTTTCTATAGCTGACCCATTTACAGGTTATTTCCATGCTAATACATGGGAGAAGAACATGCATGCACTTAGAAAATTCATCCCACTTATTCAATAACTGCCTAAAAATAGAAAGTGCTTTATCTTACTAATCTCCTGGGCTCACAAGTCTAATTTTTTCCTGGAGAAATAATAAGCATAATAACAAGCAGAGAGAACAATGTTGACCAGAGAGCTAGTCCTATCCAATGTAGTGCAGTCCTCACAATTTTGTTAGATTCACAGTATGTAAAAAGACTTTAAAGAACATTTGTATAAAGGAGCTATGAGAAAAAAGGTAAACGTATAATTTACTAACCACACAAACATCTGCCTGTTTGCATGAGCAGGTTGGACTGATTAATAACTCCAATTGAGACCTCAGTTTCTCATCATCACCAAGAACCTGGTTAAATTTCTTCACAAAATCTTGTGCTTTCCCAGGGTCAGGCAAATTCTCTATAAAGTTAAAATAGAGAAGAAAAACCACTAAATGAAAAGCAAGTGTCTTAAAAATGATGCTGAGCCATTAAATCAGACAAACTGGTTCTAGAATTAGAATGAACATGAGGACTATTTTTCTTACCGATACATTAGTAGTCTCATCAAGTAAATTATTGGTCTGTTCTGTTATTTCCTATGTTTATGAAGTGAATAAACACACTTACTTGCTATGGTCATCAGTTTTCCAAACATGGCAGAACAGTTAGCCTCTGACTGAAATTACAAACAAAAACAAAAGAATGACCAGTCATAGGAACTAACATACTGCTCTAAGAAAAATCAACTCATTATATTATACAATGAGTCGTAGTTTTAAAAATATCATCACAAATTATCAACTGGAAAATGGCTTGACATGTCTACATACTAACTTAACACCAAAGAACTGTGCAGAAGCAAAATATACACATGACATAAGACAAATAGAAGGAAAGGAGGTATTAGCAGGAAGGCATTAAAAGTCCAGATTAGTTGGTGAGTGAGTGTCTGCCAGTTCAGCAACTCAGGAGGTTAAAGCATAAGTAGCACTTGAGCTACTTTTGGGCCAGCCTAGGCAATATAGTAAGATCATGGGAACACTGGCTCATGCTGTAATCTCAACTACTCAGGAGGTCCATGGAGATGAGGAGGATCATGGTTTGAGGACAACTTGACAAAAACAGGCTGGGCATGGAGGTTCATAGCTGGAATTTCACCTATACAATAGGCAAAGGTAGGAAGATGACAGCAATAGACCAGCCTGGGCAAAAAAATGGTACCCTATATCCAAAATAACCAGAGATGGAGGTGTGGCTCAAGTAGTTGAACACCTTCCTAGCAAGCACAAAGACCTGAGTTCAAACCCCAGTAATGCCAAAAAATAAAATAAAATAAAAAATAAAAAAGTTTGCTGGGTCCTGTTCTAGAATCCATGGGCCCTTGAATGGTTTGTCTGTGGCCCCCTGGTTAAGAACACCTATTTTAGCAGCAAGCTTAAAAGTCTGTTAAGAGAAATCAAGCTTTTCACCTGCCTCTCAGAAAACTTTGGTGAGAAATAATTAATTTGACATTGGTATTACAGGACAATTATACCAACTCCAAACTGAAGGAGTAAGAAGCAAGAAATAAAAAAAAAAAAACCATGACTATACATTACATTATAGACACTTAAACTTTATTTAATTTGGTTCTAATTATTTGAAAATTGATAAACCACATATAAACTCTTAATATTTAAAGACTTATGTGGAGCCAGGTATGGTGGTACATGTCTGTAATCTATGTAGGAAGCTGATGCAAGAGAATCACAAATTCCAAGACAGGCTGAGCCCCACAGCGAGATCATGTCTCATAAAAAACCCAAATAAGCCAAACAAACAAATCATATATAGAAACAAAAACAAAAACAAAAAAATCCAAAACTAAGACTCTTTGACAGTGATTGGGGTATGGCTCCATGGTAGAATGCATAGATTCCAAGTTTGATTCCTAGTAGCAGATAAATAAATACATACATACATACTTGATAAACTAACCATTTTTTATACATGCCAGAAGATAAGAGTTCATCACATACACTTGAAATAGCAATTTATCATGGACAACTACAAAAAATATGGTTAACTGACACCTGGAAAGCGAAACACCTGAGATACTTTTTCCTTCTCCATTATAGAATATTACAGAAATAGTGAATATTGACAATAATTTGAGTTTAGACAAATCATGAACCTACTGCAGGCTGCTTGTGCAAATCCAACAGTTCTCGTACATGACTCCGAAGCATGTTCTGACACTTCCACATCTCATTGAGAGCCCTGGAACATTACAAATGTGAAAAATATATTTAACAATACTGCAAATTGTTCAACTTTACAACTTTTCTTATTTAAGATATGCATATGCCATTTTCTACATCTACATAAAAATTTTTAGCAACAGATTATTAGGATTTAAGACAATTACTATACATGGTAAATATAAGGCTTCTCATAGGAACAATGTTTTTTTGGCAGTACTGTGATTTGAATTCAAGGACCTGTGCCTGCCTGGTAGGCAGGTGTGTTACCACGGGAGCCACACTTCCATGACTCATAAGAGGAATTTAAAAATTTTTAATATATGCAGTGTCTGAAATAAAACCCAGAAACTCATGCATACCAGGCAAACACTCCATTACCAAGAGGAAATATTTGAGTTCAGAATATGAATAGGATCTTGCCTGGTGAATAATAAAGAAATTGAAATACATTCTGAACAGGGGTAGCTATAGAATTCTAGTCCAAGGAAAGATGAAATGTCTAAGTGCAAGGCACATATAGAAAACTGAAAACAATGATATGCCTGGAGAACAGAGTGCACGTGGGGAGCAGAGGAAAGGGGCATATACCACTGACAAGACGCAGATGACAAAGGCCTCCTGAATGCCTGGCTGAGGGATGTATATCAAGGGATGTAGTCCACTTAAAAAACGAAATGTCTTAGGAGTGATGTAGATTTGTAGTGACAAATCTCTCCATGAACACAACTTTCTTTTCTCACAAGTCCCCTCCAGAATTCCAGGTAGCAAGAGTATCCCTGAGAAGTTAGCTACCTATGACTACTCTTGGCTAAGTATTTAGAAATATACATGGATAGAAAAACCTTGAAGGCCAGGTTTTGCCATCAGGTATGAGCATTACTAGTCATTTTTAAGAAAGGTGGCCAACATCTCCTGATATGGTACATCAACGGGGTAATATTTCCTTCATAATCTTATTCTAACAGTAAGAAAACACCCACAGAACAAAAAAATAATTGGCCTTATGCAATACGCTAAAAAACATTAAAATTATAAAGACAAAAGGTTAAGCAATGGTTCCAGAGCAAGACACTGTTGTGATATTACATATTTAGATATGGAAGAATATAGACAAAGAACATTATATGGACAATTAAGGAACTTTAGATACAAAATACACAATAATATTGCATTAAAGTTAATTTAAAAAAAATCTGGCCGGGTATGATGGTATAGGTCTGTAATCCCAGCTCTTAGGAGGCAATGCCAGGAATATCACAAATTTGAGGCCAGTCTAGGATACCTAGAGAGTTCAAAGCTAATGGGGTTACATAGCAAGACATCACCTCAAACAAACAAACAAATGAGCAAATATATAAATACAAAACCCACGAGGGAGATAACTAAGTCATTTGAAAAGTAACTCACTTGACAGCATTTGGATCCAAACTGGCATATAAGTAATACAAGCACTTCATTCTTTCCTCGGTTTCCAGGTTGTGTGGGACAAGATACTGAGCGAAGATTTTCTCCACCAATAGTCTATAAAACGATAGCAAAACACCAAACATCAAAGAAACGAACAGACACACGAACACTATTACTTTATCTTTAAGAGACAATAGTTATTTTAACCATTTAGTGCAATGGTAATAGATTCATGCACACATATAATGGAAAACTAGAGAAAATGATGAGTTTTTTCCCTTGGAAGATTTACGGTTGCTACATGTGTCTCTACTTTATGATCTGCCATTGTGAAACATCTGCTCTAGAATGGTTCTTAAACACGGAGTATTAGGGCTGCCCCATCTAATTTTCAGTAGTCCAGAACTGAAGCAAATCAGTAAAGCTCTGATTCCAAGTATAACAAATTCTCAAGAAACTCATTAACTCCTTTCGCATGCTGTGATGTAGTACAAGTAGAAGGATCTCCCTAAATATTACTTCCTAAAAACGTACACATTTGGCTTTTCTTCTCTCCATAGTCTAAATTCCTTATCAATACTGGAAAATTCTTCTTGCTAATTCAATATCTTGCTACTATTCAGTATCACTGGAATAAGAAAGCACAAAAGCATGTCATTAGCCAATGAAACAAGCACCTGGTAATGACTTAAGTAGTCACTCTATATCAATAAAATACTAAGAAGTATTTTACCAAAACCAAGGACTCTTAGTACAATACAAAATAGAATGATAAATATCATTCATAAAATAAAAAAATGTAGTAATTCCTCTCATGGTAGTATTAGAACTGCAAAAAATGAAAACTGGTAATTAGGAATTATTAGTGATTTACTGCAGGCATCAGACCGGGGTGCTTTACTTTTGTGATCTTACCCACATGGGAACACTGTAATTTGGTAAGAATGGTCCTGTGTAAGGAGTCCACTATTACTAGATATTATTAGATAATAAAGGAGGAATTATTATTTCTCCTTTCTACATAAAACTTAGGTGCACAGAAACTAAATTATAAGGGCAGAATAAATATTTGGTTTCTAGTCTGCCCTACTTGGAAGTTCATGCCAGTTTCATGATATGGTACCATACAATCTTGAAAAGACTCTTATGCTGAAAGTGATTTCTAAGTTCAGAAAGGAGTTATTTAAAAGTTTTATGTTCAAACATTCTACCAGCATGTTGGACTCACTTGTCATCAATGCTGTTCTGGTAATAAATGTGCAGAAGTTTGTCCTTTATCCAGCTGACTTTCTCTGCAGCTTCCTTTCCTGCCTCACCGTGAAGACAGTATTTCTTATAAAGCTGAGCCAGACCCATCATGGCTTCTTTTCTCACACGCCACTACAAAGTATGATATTTATTAGATGAGCAAGGCACCAAATCAGTATACTAATCTGCAAAAACTGCCATGGCTTCACCAGGTTGTAAAATCAGAGTTACGTACATATATCTAGCAGCACAATATTTCTTTTTGTAAGAGGCTTAATCAAATTAACTTTACCAAAAAACAAAATTACTTTACCAACCTTTTTGAATCTGTTCCTATTTAGAAATTAAACTACTTTAAAATTTTCCAGTGCAGATACTGATAAATGATCTAACAATTTTATATTTCTCTCAAAAGCAAGCAGTAGTCTTTAGAAAGATTTGATTCTTTCTAAAAACACTGGGCCAGCGCACCAGTGGGCCTGTAATCTTAGCTACTCAGGAGGCAGGTCAGGAGGACTGTGGTTTGAAGTCAGCTCAGGCAAACAATTTAAATACCCAACCAAAAAAGGGCTTGTGTAATGGCTCAAGTGGTACAGTGCCTGCATAGCAACCATGAGGCCTTGAGTTTGAACCCCAGTACCACCCAAAAACAAATCAAAACAAAACAAAACAAAACCAGCTGGGGGTATGGGTCTGTAGAGGAGGGCTTTCATAGCATGTGTGAGGCACTGAGTGATTCCCTAGCAACAAAACAAAAAGAAAAAAAAATATTGCCCAAGTTTTAGAAGTGATTAAAAGGTTGAAATAAATAAATACATAAATAAATAAAGCATACAATTTATTCTCTAAACAAAAGCTCTATCATCTAGAATGGTTTGGTTCCCAGTTCCATCCCTTTTGATGTTATCCCAGAAGAAAAGAACAAAGTTCAGCTGGAAAAAATCTTACTCTTCATCTTCTGTCAACTGCCTTCCTTTGTAGACATAAAGGGAAAATCACCTACTTAGCCATGTACTAGTTGGTGGAACACCCTAGGATTTCTAGAAGTTGGCTAGAAAAAGGTGGTGGGAGGTTGGAGGACAGAAAAAATGACCATAAAAACTTAAGAGTCAGGACCATAATAAAATTTAAGAAAAACAATAATTAAAAGTGATGTTTGCCTTAGAAAAGGGTAGTGGTGCTGTATATTCTCTGGTGGATTTAAGTCAGAAGTTCTTTACATGTTTTTTGTTATTTTCTCATTTATAGCCTCTCAAGTGGATGGAACGAAACTTTCTTCTATGCACTAATTTAACAGATGTCTTTTGATGGCCCTTAGATGAAACCAAAAAAATGTGAGCAGTGAAATATAGGAATAATTTTTGTTCCCACATTTTATACAGGAGAAAACAAATGTCAAAACACCAATAAACCTCTTACTGGAACAAAATCCAGGTTTTAAAATGTCCAGTAGGTATTCTTATGACCATATCATGGAATTTCAGTAAGGAACAGTCATTCATTCACCTCTTTTTGAAATAAAGATTAAGGTGGTACCATTTTTCGAAAAGGGAAAAATTAGGGCAGGTGGAATGGCTGAAGTGGCAGAGTGCCTGCTTAGCAAGCATGAGGCCTTGAGTTCAAGCCTTAGTAATGCCAAAAGGGGGGGGGGAGGAGAGAGAGAGAGAGAAAGGGAGAAATTCTACATGTAGTAATAACCTGAAAGTGAAGAGAAGAGGGCAATGCCAACTAACCACTAGGTGGGAGAATCATTTCATTTAAAGCAAAAAATCTTCAACGTTTGAATTACTGTCAGAATTGAGCAAGTTAAACAATGTCCATTTTTTAAAACATCGAATACTTATATGACTATTTAAAAAAATAGAACATAAAGACTACCTCTTCCTGTATTTCAAAACCACCTGCCATTTACCCTAAAATTACACCTGAACCACATATTTGCAGAGGACAGCAAGTTTTCAACAATGCCAACAAAATACCACGCTGCAGGCTATTCTTCTTAAGAATATGAGTTAGGCAGATTCCTCATTAAGACACGTGGCATATCTGGTTCTGCTCACGGCCAACACCACTCTGCCTTAGCAATTGCTACTGCCGATCCAGTGTTACTTCTCCTCACGGATGGCGCTTCAACACATGGCCGACTCTGCCCTCAGCGAGGCACACCATTAGGGAATGTTACTTTCTTAGGAAGTGTGGTAGACTTAACTGAATGAGTGACAGACCCAGATAAGTTATATGAGATGTAACGAAGAAATAAACACAGGAAATCAACTTCTATTCCTTTTACAAAGCATGGCTAAAAGAGAAGCTTGTTTTCTAAAATGTGAAGAGCTCCATATTCCAAGAGTTCATCCATAAAAATAATTAAAAGATACATAGAGAAGAGCTGGGTGCAGTGGAATATGCCCCAAATCCCAGCACTTGGGAGGCTGAGACAGGAGGATCACAAGTTCGAGGCCAGTTTTGACTACATAGTAAGTTTAAGAACAACCTATACAAGATAGCAGGACCTCACTCCAAAAAAAGGAAACACAGAAATAGTCCTTTATATCATTATTAGTAGGTATTAATCTGATTTTCACACACAAAACTATAATGGGTATTACGCAATAACCATTCATAGAATAGAAAATACTAATGATGAAAAAAAAGGAAAATATTAATATATTTACCAAACAATTTACATACAATAAATAAGAGTAAAATTCCTCAGATTTTACCCGTTTATCCAGTGTCCTTTCCCGTACAAAGCCAAGAAGCTGATCATTTACTAAGGCAAGGTCTCTTTTCGCAGCTGTTATTATAGTAACAATGACATCGTGACGAATAGCTTCTTCTGGATCATGTGACCTAACCTTCAAATATTCTGTAGTAAGAAAATTAAAAAAAAAAAAAAGAAAAGAAAAAGCTAAGTGTTAGCTATCTAATTTTTCATGATTCGGACTGACAGAAGGCTAATGCTTTAAGTATTTGTCCATATTGAAACAATGCTTCTAAGTGTGTCATGAACCAAAATCATTTTAAACACAGCACTAGGAATTCCATAATATCACACTTGTTACTGTATGCATGTTTAAAAAAATGTATTTCGGTGAAAAAGTTGAACAACATAGTATCTCATTTATACAGCTTGGAATTTCAGTCACAAAATAAGACTTAAAAGAAAAAGTAAAAATGCTCACAAGTTGAGTGATAGATATATACCTGCACTATTATATAAAATCCAGACTATAATAAAACCAAAACAAATTTTAATGGAAGTTATTTATTGCTAATACCAAATATGTAGAATTAAATGTTCCATGTTCAAATGAAGAAAAATTCTTGTCTAATCCAGAAGATAACTTTATCGAAGATAATCACCTTTCCTGCTTATTTGATGTGTTACTATATTTAATTATATAGATATTAATCATATAGATATTAATATATCATACTATTACCTCCTTAAACTACGATTTCCAAAATACTCAAAATGATAAAAACATGAAGCTTTTTAAGAGTAATTCTGTTTTATGAACATGAAATAATTTCCTATTCCATAAAAAAAAGACACCTGAAACCATGCCAGAATTAAATCCTATTTAGAAACAACTTAGATCACAGGTCACATTTAAAATTTATTTTTGGGATGGGGATTTAGCTTGGTGGTAGATTGTTTATCTAGCATCCCTAGGATGGAAATACATAATAAATTTCCTTTTGTCATTACTAGGGGGCTTACCTGTGAGGTCCTTTGCTAAATCTGGATGGTTCATTAAACAGTGACTGGCAAATTTCACACTTTCCAATCTCACAGGAACATGAATGTCATTAAATCTACATAGAAAAAGATTGCTACATATTAATTCCAAGGCAAAATAATTCTTTTAAAATAGGTTATGTGTACATATATATATGTATACACACACGTGTATATATGTATCTAACATGTAAGCATTTATAAACAGTAAGCTACTATTAGAAAATGTGAGGATTAGGTGGAAATATTATGTACTCATGTACAAAACCGGAAAAATGAGACTTGCTGAAACTATTTTAGAAATGGGGGGAAGAAGGATAAAGGAGAATGAGGGAGGGTGTGAATTCAACTATGATATATTTGATATATTGTGAGAACTTTTGTAATGTCACAATGTATCCCCAGTACAACAATAAAAGGATAAGTTAAAAAAAAAAAAAGTAAAGAAAAGAAAGTATGTGGATTAATTATAATGACAGAGCACCTGCTTAGTAAGTGTGAGGCCCAGAGTTCAAACCCCTGTACTGACAAAAAAAAAAAAAAAGGACTACATAAAATGAGTGAGTCACTGCCACATACAAAAATTTCATCTGGACAGGACCACTTTGTATTTATATGTTCTTTTAAAGGTCTACTATAGGCAGTACTTGTAATCCTAGCTACATGGGAGGCTGAGATCAGGAGGATCCTGGTTCCAAGCCAGCCCAGGCAAAAAGTTTACAAGGCCCCAATTCAATGGAAAAAAGCTATTATCCCAACTACTGCGGAACCATAAACAGGATTGAGGTTCGGGAAAGCCTGGCAAAATCCAAGATCCTATTTCCAAAATAACCACAGCAAAAAGAGTTGGAGGTGTGGCTCAAACAATAGAGCACTGTCTAGCAAGGGCAGAGCTCTGAGTTCAAATCCCAGTACCATAAAACAAGAAAAAATGTTTCTAAGGACCATTTTTTTATTCCCATAGAATTTAATTAATATGAAATACAATCTGCAGATATATATTAAGCATAAGCTGAGAAACTCAAATTTGAAATGGATCATGCAATCTTAAAATGTAATTGTTAATAATACAGGGCATGGTTTGGGGATGGGGTATAACTCAGTTATAATGCATGAGCTTACCATGCACAAGGCCCTGGGTTAAATTCCCATCACAGGTGATAGGGTAATAATGTGATTTTTAAATAAAAGGAAATACTTAAAATTTTTGAAGTCATCTTATAAAATAACCAGGCAAAGTTATTTAATAATGTTCTACTGTTTATGGCTACTATTTTCTCATCCAAAGATAATCTGCTTAATCAAACCTTGCATTTAGGCTGTATAATTTTCTAAATGCCAGAGAAAAATTAAACTTAAGTAAATTACAAATTACTAAAACGCTTAATGCTATGATTAAGGAAAATAATACAAAACAGACAGAATGTTACTTCTTTGATTTTATGAATGAGACACATCACAAGAATAGCAGTGAATGGCTGGGCACCAGTGGCTCATGCCTATAATGCTAGCTACTTAAGAGGCAGCAATCAGGAGGATCATGGTTCACAAGGTCAGCCAGGGCAAACAGTTGGAAAAACTCCATCTCAAAAAAAACCCAACACACACACACAAAAAAGGGTTCAAGGAGTGGCTCAAGTGATAGAGCACCTGCCTAACAAGTGTGAGGCCCTGAGTTCAAACCCCAGTACCACCAAAAGGGGAAAATAAAAACACACACACACATGTGTATATATATATATTTAGGGAGTGCTTGCTGCCATTTTCTGCACGGGGAATGGTAAGTGTTTTTCTATTTTTTACCTGGGTTGTTTGTAAAATCAAAATCAGCCATAATGGTTTTCTTAACATTGTAAATATTCACTGCTCTTTTTTTGGTGTGGTCCTGGGGTTTGAACTTTACACTTGCTACCACTTCTCTACCACTTGAGCCACTCCACCAGCTTCCCTTTTTTTTTTGGTGTTGGGTATTTTTCAAGATAAGGGTCTCATGAACTATTAGCTTGGGCTGGCCTCAAGCTGCAATTCTCCTGATCTCTGCCTCCAAAGTAACTAAGATTACAGATGTGACCCACTGGCGTTGGTCTGAGCCTTGGATTTTTGCTTAAAGATTTATTATAATAAAGTATGATACCAGTCATTGGGACAGGGAATTCCTTCTCTCCTTCTCTATATCCTTCTAAGTGTAGTTAGTTAGTTCACTGCCTCAATTCTCAACTTTGTGTGTACGTGTTTGCATGTTACTGGAGTTTGAACTCAGGGCCTTTAGGTTGAGCCACTCCAGCAGTCCTTTTTTGTGATGGGTTTTTACAAGATAGGGTCTCTCAAACTATTTGCCCCTGATGGCGTTGAACCACGATCCTCCTGATCTCTGTCTCCTGAGTAGCTAGGATTACAGGAGTGAGCCACTGGTGGCCTGACTTCCTTTTTTTTTTTTTTTTTTAAATTATTGGTAGTACTGGGGTTTGAACTCAGAGCCTCTTACTTGGTGGCAGGTGCTCTACCACTTGAAACTGCAGTTCATTTTTGCTTTTAGTTATTTCTCAGATAGTATCTTGTGTTTCTGCTTAGGGCCAGCCTCAGACTTCTATCCTCCTACTTGTGCCTGGCTTGCTAGCTGAGATGGGCATCTTGTGTTTTTCCAGGGCTAGTATCAAATCATGATTCTCCCAATCTCTGCCTCCCAAGTTGCTGGGAATACAGGCATGTCCTACTACACCAGCCAATTTTTAACCACTTATCGAGTCAAGTTTAATTAATTAAGACCTTCAAAATGGCCTGTTCTGAGCAGTAGCTGGTAAGATATCATGTTATTGTCAAAGATTTCTTGAAACCAAGAATGATTATAAGGACAATTACAGTGAAATTACTCTAAGAAAGAAAAATTCTGAGCACATCTTCTCAATCAATTAAACTAAGCAATGAGGAATCTCAAACATTCTCTAGAAAACACTAACTACCTCTTTTCACCAATACAGTATTATTTCAATACTTTTGCAACAAAAGTAATGTGAAAATGGGATGAAAACAGGAACTTAATGAACTTCAAAGATTTTATTCAATTTTACCACTTACTTGAATTCAATAATCCTAAATTCTTAGAAATATTATTTAAGCATAAAAAAGTATTACATGGGTAAATAAGATTTCTTTATAAAAAATTATCCTACAATTTGTCCTACCAGAAAAATTAACCATATACATATACCAATGAAGACAAGACATATCAAATAAAGTCTGGTATGTGTAATTTTAGCCATGTGGTGCCTACTGACCAGCCTCCAAATACACAAATCTAAATGTTAAGTTCTCATACCGTCCAAGAAAACATTGCCAAAGAGGACGATTCTGTGTTGCCAAGTCAGAATCTTTAGAGCCAAACAATTTTGCTAGAAGTCGCACCACAGCTAACCGTTCTTCTCCATCATTGCTCTACAGAGGTAAAAGACAAAAGAAAGCCTGAGCTTTAGTATTCAGATTTCAAAAATATTTCCAAGTTCATATTTCTGCTTATAGTGTTGACAACCTTTTTTTTTTGTGTGTGGGACTGAGGTTTAGACTCAGGCCTTTGTACTTGCAAAGTAGGTATTCTACCACTTGTGTTCTCCTGACCACTTTAAAATACCACATGCTCTCATTTACTAAGGAGAAATTTATTTAATTCCATGTTACATCATCTGGTTCTTTGATCTTATCTGACAACAGCTAATTTGTGCCTACTTCACCACTTATTTGAGATCTACATGTTGATTATATACTTTGTACAAATACAAAGATATTTCACTGAATTCTAACACTATGCAAAATTGTAGAAGAAAAATTCTGTGAATGAGAAAGCTGCAAATAATTTCTATCTTAACAAGCATTCTTTATAGAATCTGTCCTGGAATCTAAGCTCTCACATGAATTCAGATCAATTAAGTTTTAGTGAATGGTTTCCCCTGACTGGAGAACGTGACACTGTTTACTAGCAGAGGAAGAACCTCATAAGGATCTCCGTTTTTTGATAATGAATGACTATATGCTATGAACACTCTCCAATTTCAGTAGTAATATAAAATTTTCTTTTTCAAGATCATATATCTACTAGGATAGTAAATGCAACAACTAAAGCCAACTACTAAGAATTTTAGGTGTTCAAGTACAATATTTGTCTAAACCCATCTTCAATCAACAATTTTTATGGGAAAAGACAGAAGTTAAAATAGAAAAACTAAAGACCACAGAATATGACCTTTTCCTTATCAATGTTTAACTCTCAAGAATAGTGTTTTTTTTTAGTAAAATTTGTGCATTTATATCAATCAAATAGATGTAAAAATGAAAACTGTGTTATGAAGCTTTAGCACAATTATGAATGACAAAAAAGATTGACAATGCTTTTCTTTAAGTGATAGCAATGCTGACTGACACTATCTTTTCCAATGTTCAAAATTTAGTATATAAAAACAATTCATTTTTAAGAAAAAATTAAATCCCTTAAATGTCAAACACTAGGATACAGGGAATTTTTGTTCTACTTGTAAGTGACTACTTAGTAGATGAATGATTATTTAAAATGTGACATTTCACATTTATAAACTACTGAAGTAAAGCTGCTAAGTGAAAAATACAAGTTATTCAACAATAATTTACTTTAAATGGAAGGAGATAAGCTGAACTCACATTTTACTCATTTATAACATTAGAGAAAATCTCTCCAATATACATTTTTAAAAAAAAAAACTTAAAGCGCTTTGAAAATTGGTCAATCCTACCTTCAGTTTGAACTCAAGCTGTGGCATGACAGATAATAACAAATGAGGATCGATAGCAAAAAGCTCCTGGATCAGATCAAAAACATGTTCTGACAAATCACTCACTGATGATCTTCCCAGCACCAGGACCTGATTGAAAAACTATAGGAAACATTAAAAACAAAATATGTATTTCATTTAAAAATCTGAATAGGCTTCCATAAACATGCATTAAAAAACTACATAATAGGATTACATACACAACTGAAGGGGTTGTTTATATATAATAGGATAACCATCTGAACAGCAGAAAAATGAACTTCCAAGTATTATCAAAGAATGACTGTAATGGAAAAGTAAAAATAGAATTGAATGGTTGGCTATATTTCTAATAAGGATGACAGTTCAGAGAACCTCAATTTTCATTAAAATGATCAGCAGCTTGCACAGTTCATTATAGGGAATTTCATAAAATTTTTTCCTTGTAGCATAAGAAAGTCATTTAAAGTCTCAATGTCTTAACTTTTTATGCAAAAATTATTCTACCTTTGCAACGAAGTTAGTAATGAGTATTTAAAGATGAGGGTGTTTCTGGGCTCTGTTGTTTTTGTTAGTATCCAGAGAAAAGTCAAATACATTTTAAAGGCTGATGATACAAAAGCTAGCTGATAATTTAACAACATTAGAAACAAAGACCAAATACTATCAAGAGCACAAAAGATACCACCATTTCCATTGTTCCTCATACACTTAGCAGGAAGTCTTAATTTTAAAAAGCTAAAGAGGCAGTTGTATGAAATAAGAACGTATTTCTGGTATTGTAAAATATTTCTTTTGAAAAGCAACATAAATAGAGTTTAAAAATATTTGCATTTTCTTTAGGGCCCATGAAAAGGAGGAGGAAAGTTTCAATAAAACATCCACACATGAATTAAGCACAGAATGCTACTTGTGGAAGTATATATAAAAATGATTGATGACAGCTACTTCTGAAAACTGAGAATGACGTGTTCAAAAGATGGAGAGATGCTGTTCACTATACGATCTCTTGTACTTCCTGAAAACGTTTTCTAACCTACTGAAATATTAATTTAGCAATAGAAATAATACTGTTATGCCATTTAAATTAATAAACCTTTTTTTTAAATGAGGAAAGTAATTGAACAGATGTTACATTCACGAAGATGACTTTTAAAGGAAAACACTGGAACAATCAATGCAAGGTAATAAGGAAGTAGATCTTTATCAATGTAAAGTAATACTTACAGTCATTTGTATTATAAACAAAAAGTCAAAATGTGGAAATATATATAAATGAAGACAATATGTGGGGAAGGGAGATAACGGAGAATAATGGAGGGAATAAATTCAACTATGACGTACTGTGAGAACGTTTGAAAATGTCACAATGTACCCCCAGTACAATAATAATAAAAAATTTTTAAAAAGAAAATAAATAAAAATAAGGACAATATAAGTTTATAGAATATGTGAAAAATAGATACAAATGAGTAACAGAATTAATTGCTACATCAAGGTAGCATAATTACAGGTTGTTACGTTTTTTTGTTTGCTTTTTGCAGTATATGGAACTCAGGGCCTCATGCTTGTTAGGCAGGCAGTTAACATTTGAGCAACTCCATCAGACCTTTTTTTCCTATGTCTATTGGGTATTTTCAAGATAGGGTCCCATGAACTAGTAGCCCAGGGTTTCCTTTGAACCACAATCCTTCTGATCTCTGCCTCCTGAGTACCTAGGATTATAGGCGTGAGCCGCTGTGCTTGGCTTCAAAATTGTTTTTTTAGTTAAAAAAAAAAAAATAGAGAACAGAACAAATTTATATTCAGTGTATTTTTTTTTTTTCCCTTTTGAGACAGGGTCTCACTATATAACTCAGATTAGTCTGAAACTATCTTCGTAGCCCAGGCTAGCCTCAAACTTTCAATCCTCCTGCACACCTGGCTCAATGCAACTTTTATTTTTTTTTTTTGGTAGGACTGGGGTTTGAACTCAGGGCTTCGAACTCACAAAGCAGATGCTCTACTGCTTGCGCCACACTTCCAGGCCCTAAGTATTTACATCTACTGGAAGGGGAAGAAACACAAAGGTTTCAGAAGAGTGATCTAGAAGACATAAAGAAGAAAATGTACACACTTAAAGAACACAAAGACTCCAAAGTGGAAGATAAGATACATGTGAATGTAAATGCTGAAGACAAGGTGAGGAGTGTAGACAAGTTTTCACACAGTAACATTTAGCATCCTGTACCATTTTAAAAGCAACAATGAAGCTGATGAAGTTATGCTGCATTTCTTCAGCATTTATCACATTCAGACATAGGTTACAGAATAAATCTGAATGTGAATAGTTCTAATAAATTCACACATTGGATTAATAATTACACAGTTATAGAATAAGTACTGACAGAAATACATACATTGGCAATGCATGCCTCAATAGTCTGGACTGTCCTTTTCAACAAGACTTTTGCAAGATCGAAGGACTGTTTATTTAGATTCTGAAAAACAACAAAATGTGCAAAATTATGAATGAATTAGTTAACTTATGAGACAGCATCATTAGAACACTATAGTCTTAAAATCTCCTAAAATTTGAAATCAACAAACAACCAAATTTCATTTAAGGTTTTACCACCTGCAAATACAGAAGCTGCCAATTGAACTCCATGAACCAAAAAGAAAAATGCAGTAGTCAGTCAATAGCACAATGCTGTATTAAGTTCTACTCAATTTAAAATGCACCTAAGGCTTTTTGAATCTGTTGATAACTTGGCCAACAAGAACTGGCAACCACATTCACATATGCCAAAACCTCTTACCTCCCATCTAACCCACCATGCTTAGTATTTCATTGCTTAATTAGCGCATGTTCTTAAGAAGAGCAGCCCTGGAAACTGTTCCCAATAGAAGCGGTTATTATTAATCAATTGTATTTTTAAGTCCTGATACACTGTAACAAATTAAAGGGTCTGACAAAGCTGGTAGAAACCCCAGTACCACCAAACAACAAAACCAGAAAAAAACAAACAAACAAAAACACCTTTATTGAAAAGGGAATTCTTGCTTTGAAGAATACTATTGCTGGGGGAGTGACTCAAGTGGTAAAGCACCTGCCTGGCAAGCATGAAGCCCTAAGTTCAAACTCCAGTACCACCAAAAAAATAAAAATAAATAAAAGAAAAAGAAAAAGAATACTATTATCATCTATATACTATAAAATTCTGGATCAAACTAAAATATATTGATGATCATTTTGCACCTCTTTCAGAAATAGGCTATGAAACCCTATCCTCTGAACCAGTGGTCATCAAACTTTTATGTAAAGGGCCATGCAGTAAATGATCTCAGATTGTGTGGTCATGTAACAACATAATCCCTTGAACTGGATCCTCCTCATCTCTGCCTCATGAGTAGCTGAGATTACAGGTGTAAGCCACCATGCCTAGCCTCTCCTTCTGAAATGGGTATATTTCACACTAAGAATAAATGCCAAATATGCTGCCCAAGCCCAGCCCCAATTTTTCTCTTATTCTGTCTGAGTTATACTTCATTTTACCATACACTCAAAAACTTTTTGCCCAACTATAGATTGACTTGAATTAATAAAATGAAAATATTTAGAGATCAGAACTCAAAGTAATCACATATTTTTGGGAATAGTACAGTTAAGACATTGTTCATCTAACATATGATATTATACTGTTGAATCATTACAGGGTATGAAAAGACAACACTCCTATTCTTGTAATTCACAGGTTAGTTATGGATAATTAATACAAAATATTTCTGGTTTCCACAAAACAAATAGCACTTACTAAATGAAAATCTTAATATAACATTTATCAGTTTATTTCTAAAAGTAACAGCTGTTAAGAATAATGTGTGCTACTATAAAGAATGACAGCAGGAAAAATTACATAGGATTTCAAATAATCAAAAACTACTCATGGATTTGTATGTGTAGCATTACCTTTAAGTATTAATCAATATTTTAGAGTCCTCAGGACCAAAATAAGAAATTTACTACTTTCATCCTGTACAGACCTTATGTGCAGGTATGAGGTTAATAAGAATGGAGTCCAGTAATTCTTGCGTGACTCCATCGCCTTCCATGATGATGGAGCTCATCAAATCCAGCATGTGCATTTGCACCTTCTTATTGTGGCTATTGCTAAAGAAAAAAGAAAAAAACTGAGGCATAAAAGTCATACAATTACATCTCCCCTTCTTTTGAGACAGGGTCTCACTGTGTAGGCCAGGCTGGCCCTGAACTCTCAACCCTCCTGCCTCAGCCGTCCTAAGTGCTGGGATTACAGGCATTCACCACACCTGGCTAAGCATTCCAGTTTAGATCAACCTCAACTATAAAAGGATTATCACTTAAGAAAACCATACTGATAATGGCAAAGAAATTTAGGCTTCTTTATGTACATTTTTCCCTATGTAAAATACTGCAACAGTTGTTAAGATATTGTTATAAAATATTTTACAAAGACCACCTTAATTTCTAATGAAGCACATTCCTTACAAGTCACACTCCCTACACACAAAGAATAAAAAGACTTTAAAAATGAATAAAGTGTTCACAGAACTTAGAGTAAAAAAATTTTTTTGATTACCTATACTAATACTTTTATACATACACAGCAAAGATTATCAAGACAAAAAGACTAAAGAGTCACCTATAAAACTTTTTCAACATTAACCTGAAATAATGAATAGTTGACTATTTGGCACTTAGTGATAAAACACAAAGATATAAAAATTGTCACACTGTTAGAGGCAGTTTTCTACAAATCTGAGAAAGACAACACTTTTGCATGTCCTCTCCCAAACATCTTGCATACTTTACAAAATGACAATATTATAAAGGATCACTTAGTTGTATACGTGTGTCAGTGTACATGTGTGCAGAGGGATAAGTTGGAAAGGAACAGAGACATTCAGCTTCACACAAAAGAATATAAAACAAAACAGAAATCTGCATACTTGGCTCTCAGATTTTTGAGGATAGGAAAGGAGTGTAGTGCAGATAGACAAAGAGACTTTAAAAATTATTCCATAGATTTCACCAGTCTAAGTCAGTAAGCTTATAACTTTCATTTCTAGTAAGATAACAGGGACAGGATTTACCCTTACAACAGCAACTAAAATTTGGACAAAATATATGAAACAAAAGCTTTCAGATATTGTACATTATGCATATATTGGTAAGGGAAGGAAAACAAAACCCTACAACTTTCCCAGTTAATTGCCTGGAAAGCTTCTAGGCTGTAGGACTGGGCAGCGGACCCTGGCAGAGTCTTATGGTTCCCCAGAGTCTAGGGAGACCAGAGTTTGCAAAGCAGAGTTATCAGTGGGAAGAGAATTAATCAGACAGCAAGCTCAAACAATCAAATGCTTAATCAGCACATACATGTGAGGAAATTCCTTGACTTTGGGGAAGAAAACCCTGAATGGAGAAGAGAGATTGGCCCTTGGAACTCACAATCAAAAGATCCTAGAAGCTTAATAAGCCCCAAAGAGGGAGAAACAGGAAGAAAACTACTATGGTATATCATGACCAAATTACCTGAGATGAATAATAAAGAAAAAAATATTAAAAGTAGCTAGATGGGAAAAAAATACATCATACACAGAAAAGCAAAGATTAAAAACAACAAAAAGTCTTGCTAGAAACAATGAAAGCAAGAAAAAGATGGAACAACTTCCCTGTTAACCCAGAACTCTGTAACTCTGTATCCTGTGTAAACAATTTTTCAAAATAAATACAAAAAAAAAAGACTTTTTCAGACAAAAGAATTCCATCAGCAGACCTAAATTACAGGAATTGTTAAAGAAAGTCCTCCAGAGTGAAAAAGAATTATGCCAGATGTAAATGTGCATCAGAGTAAAGGAATGAAGAACCATGTAAAGGAGTGAAGATACGGCAAGTGCGTCATTAAGTACAAATCAGTAAGCTCTTATTTGAGAAGTCTGTTGTTTACTTATACCTCATGGTAAATTAATTAGGTCAGCATTAAACAGTCTTCACAATCAATAAAAACATTGATAGGATCAAAGACAAGTAGGTATATGTGTAAGTAATTTTGAGATGAAAGAATTGCAGAGTGGAAGGTAGATTCACAACAATAATTTCACAAATTGTTGTTGAAGGTAATAATTATGACTATCAAAAGAAAAGTCTCCAAAAATGTGGTACAATGCAAACAGTGGGCAGAAACTATTCTCAATCCCGTAAGGATATTCCATTATGATGCTGTTCCATCAAGACATGGAGTCTATCTGACCAGTCCTGGAATCTGGGTTTCCCATATGTCCTGCTTGGCCAATGAAACACAGAAGAGACCAAAGGCTTTAAGGGTTCTTGTGCTGTTAAGTGAGGTTTGCCCTTTCTTAGTACTTTTGGAACCTAGTCAGTGGATGGCTAGCCTTCTGGGTAAGCCAGAAAGAAATGTGACTCAGTTGTCAGCCAATTACCAGATGTCCTGCAAAAGGACTGCAAACACAGGAAAGAATCCAGAGCAGACAAAACAACTACCAAGTAGAAGCATAGGCTAAATAAAATGGTGGTTGTCTTACATTAACAAGTTTAAGAGGTGTTTTCTTTTTGTTATGTTTTTGGTGAGGCAGTACTAGGGATTGAAATTAGGGCCTGTAGCTTGCTAGGCAAGCACTCTATCACTTGAGCCATGTCCCTATTTCTTTTTTTTTTTTCAGTTTGTTTTTCAGATAGGGCTTCACATTTTTCCACAGGCTGGCCTCAGATTGAGAGCCTCCTACCTCTACTTCCCAAGTAGCTGGGATTACAGGCATAAAGTTGTAGGTTGGCTTATTAAACAGCAAGAGTGAGCTTATCTCTTCTATCATTTATTCTAATGGCTTGTTGGTAATCAAATCCCACCAGAACCTTTTCTTCCTGCAATCTTTTTTTCCTATAAATTTCTATCTCTAGACCAAGCTGGTCTGATCATCCCTTATTTATCACAGGTCAACATCTAATCCTACATTCTATCAAAGGAAAAGGAAAAACTCATGAAGTGGTCATAAAAGTTTACACAAAACTCTAACATGCTAACATGTAAGCTATTAGCCAGATAGGCTTATTGAAAGGATAATTCTTTTGGCTACAGCTGGATAAATAAAATGCTATTAAAATGAATTTATCTGCTTCTTCCTTTTTGAGGGGCAATACTAGTGTTTGAACAAAGTGGCTCATGCTTGCTAGGCAGGAGCTCTACCACTTGAGCCACTCTGACAGCCCTTTTCTGTGTAGGGTATTTTGGAGACAGGGTCTCTCCAACTATTTGCCAGGACTGGTTTTGAACTGAGATCCTCCTGATCTCTGCTGAGGAGGCTAGGATTACAGGTGTGAGCCATCGGCTCCTGGCATGCTTCTTCCTTTCTTAATGTGGCCACTAAAATATTTTAAATTTATGCAAGACATTATGTTTGCATATAGTGTAATGCTTCAGGATGCATCTCATAAATATGCTTTGTTTACACTAAGAAAAACAAACAGAAAAACTGGGCTAAAATTTGTTTGGGCTTTCTAGTAATACATCCTTGGACAAGCAAGTGACCACACTCATTCTCCTTGTTTCTAAGACAAAAAAGCTGACTTAAGCAATGTTTGTGACTTTTTTCCCCCTAGTTCTAAATTATCAAAGACAGTGTGCTTAAGTACTAAGCTCTTAGCTCTTAAGCCGTTCAGCACTAATGGTACACAGAACACTCATGGTTTCTACCTTAGAATTTAGTGATTATTTCATGATTTAAGGTTTCACACTAGTTACTTCCCCACTGCAGCTGTTACCTCTGTTGAATACGCTTCTTCTAAACAAGGGCTTTCTATGCCTCGGTGCTCCCAACACAGAACCAGACACAGAAGACTCCATCAATTGATTTATATCATCAACTTACAGAGAAGTATAATGGCAAGAACAGCTTGCAGACAACAGGATTTATTTTCTTCTTTATATTAACACTTCTTATAATTCTGAAAGCTTTTTGTGCACATTAGAGTATACGACACTTCAATATACACAGCAAGAAAGAGACGAGCAAACTTACTTGATTACTGAGAAGAGAGTCCTAAAAAGCTGAATAAAAATTTCATTGCAATCTTCCAATTCAAAGCAGATGTTATACGATTTAACCCAAGCTAAATTCTTAAATGGATAAATAAAAATAATTACTTAATAACATATATACAGATTAGTTACACAAAAGTAAACTCACTAGTAAAATTTCTTTTTTAGAATTAGGAATCTATATTAAAGCCTATAAAGACTAAATATACAAAACTACAACTGTTAAATTATTTGCTCACTGACATTTAAAAAGACATATACCTGAAGGCACAATTGTCCCAAACTTAAAAACAGAAAATATTTGGGAGTTTGTAAACTCATATGTATATATAAAATGTAAGGAGCACAGCAAATCCATTTTTAGATTAGAAAGAAATAGAAATAAACAGGTGAAACTAAAAGCTAGAGTTTCAAAATCAGCAATTTTTTCCAGCAGAATAAAATTATCTTTTCAAAATATGAGGAACAAGATTATATTTTCCTTATTAAATGTAAGACAGTTTATTAAGTGTGTCTTCTATTAAACAAAAAGGTTTCATTGTACACTATAAAATTACTATAAAAATTTGCTACTATATAGAATAATGATATTTATAAAATAAGGTATTATATTTTTACCTCTAATAAATAAAAGTATCTATTAAACTGTGGACTCTTTGTATCCTCCAAACCTTTTAATTGTCTGGTAATAAACAAAAATATGTCCTGTTAAAAGAATAACAAAATATATTAGTTTAGACACAAATACTTATTCTTTCACAACAAATGAATAGTCTATGTGTATGTATGTGTATATATATATATATATAAATTGTTAAAAGCTGAAATAAAAGAAAATTCTACTTTAGTTGAATGCCTTGGGGACTGGCCTAGTTCATTATTTAAAATGACTGTAAAAGAGCAAAATAAACAAAATAATATCCTTTAGAAATAAAGACTATTACTTTTACTGATCTTGAGGCATTCTCACTCTGAGAACACAGGCTCTATATTTCACTTGCTTCTCTTCCACTATACCACTTCCATGTCGTCACTCAGTATCTTCACTTTGCATCATGGTAAACAGCTATCCTCATTTTTAAAGGAGCTCAATGAGTTTTTCCATTGCCATTTTGTACTATAAACACCTCGTTTTGAATTCAATGTGTGACTACAAAGTTGTATGAAACAAAGGCAACAGATGGGTCAAAGGGTGATGATAGTGCTTCATTTGCTCTTTTTGAGTCTGGGTCTCATTTCATACCCAAGCTGTCCTCGAACTCTCAATCTTCTTACCTCAGCCTCCCCAGTGCTACACCATGACAGCTATTTCATTTCTTTTTTTGGGGGTACTGGGGCTTAAACTCGGGGCCTACACCTTGAGCCACTCCACCAGCTCTTTTTTGTGAAGGGTTTTTTCAAGATAGGGTCTTGTGAACTATTTGCCCGGGCTGGCTTTGAACTGCAATCCTCCTGATCTCCGTCTCCTGAGTAGCTAAGATTATAGGCATGAGACACCAGTAAACAGCCAGCTGTTTTATTTCTTATTAAGCTTACTTCAGAAGTTTTAACTTGAAATAGTCAAATAAGGTACAACATGAATTTTATATTCCTCTAATACCCTCTTATTCAGAGGGATATGTTCCAAGATCCACAGTGGATGTCTGAGAGTACAGACAGTACTGAACCCTGCATATACTTTGTTTTTTTTCTGTACACACAGACCTATGGTAAGTTTAATTTATAAATTAAACACAGTAAGAGATTAACAATAACTTACAATAGAATATTTAAAACAATATATTGTAAAGGCTGGCAGATCAGTTCAGGTGGTAGAGCACCTGCCTTGCTCTGAGTTCAAACCCCAGTACTACCTCCCTCCCCATAAAAAATTTAAGATCCTTAAAAAACAAAACTGTAAATTTTGTACTTTGGGGCCATTATTGAACACAAGCACTAAGACACTGCTATAGTTGATCTAATAACCATGACATCTAGTTAGTGACTAACAAAAAGGTAGCATATACAGTGTGGACTACTGTACAAAGGGACAATTCCTAGCTCAGAAGAGATGAAGCAGGACAGTATAAAATTTCAATAGATTCCTCAAATCAATGAGCAATTTGCAACTGATGAACTATTTAGTTTTTTAATTTTCCAGTTATTATTTTTGGACCATGGATGACCACAAGTGATTAAATCTGTTGAAAGAGAAACTATTGATAGGGAGGGGATCACTGCATTTAACAGAAAACAGTCCAAAAGATTAAAATTTGCCAAGAATATTATATGAGTAATAATATGAAATCAGCTCAAGAGATCAATATAAAAGAAAAGTTCCTCCAACATGTTGAACAAAGGTAGAACCACCAAAATAAGCACATAATTTTTTGTATGTTGAATAACTTGTAGGGGCAATACTTATTTGAATGTGTAAATCCTAGCATACTACCATTTTAAAACTATCACCAATCTGCTCTTAATCCCTTGAACACAGCCATCTGGGCTTTGGGAGGGACTAGCTTGAAGGTTCAGTATGAGCAGACAAGGGTTTTGGTCTTTAGCCTTCAAAGCCTCATAAAAATCTAGCCATTTTTGGAGACATTTAAGTGTGAATTGAATGAATAGGTTCACAACTAATGATACGATTTTAAAACGACAACAATAATATGAAACCTATGTTCATAATGATAAACTATACTAAGAAAAGTAAAAGTAAAATTTTACTTTTGTCATATTCTGTAAAGATTATATTTACCTTAAGTTTATCATGGGAAGTATATGGAGCTTCTGGGGCATAGATTCGAAATATGTCAGCCAAACAACATGCTACAAGGAGACGCACATCTTTATTAGGGTTCCTGAGGAAGAATTCAGATGCAAGATGCAAGGCTAGTGGGAGATACTGCTGCTTTTCATCTTCTGAGTCCTGATCCATATCCATAAAAGTTTTTACTACCATCTGTAAAAATATGTAAAAGAACAATATAATCAAGTTGTGCTACTTAGTAATTAGCAGGAGAGATTTCTTTCTTTCTTTTTTTTACAAATTTGAGGAAAGAGGGTTGGGCATAGCATATAGGTTGGTGGCGCAGTGCCTGCCTAGTGTATGTCAGGTCCTAGGCTCAACCTTCAGTAACATACACTACAGAGCATAAGCATGAAATGCCTAATCACAAAGAAACCTATAAACAAGTATTGATTTTTGGATTTCTCATAGATTAACTGTATTACCACCAGATTTTTCTAAGAACTAAAACCTCATTATTTACTTTGAGAAAGGGTCTTGCTATGTTGCCCAAGGTTGGTCCCAAACTTCTGACCTCAGTTGATCCTTCTGCCTCGGTCTTCTGAATAAATGAACTACAAGTATTGTCACCATGTCCAGCTTTCATCACTCATTTTGTAACTAGCCCAGATAAAAAGGTCATGGAGCCATATGCACAAACTGATTTGATATTTGGCATCACTGATTATGTCTCTATTTTATAATCAAAGCTGCCTTCTGTAGGTTTCTTAAAACTACTATTCCATTTGACACATTAACAATTTATGTGCTTTACAATGCAAAGCATCCACGTTTAAACCTTTCTAGGTAGTTTTTATGTATTACTGATTAATGGCTTTAATTATAAATAGCCTCAGCTATTACTTATGACTATAAAACTAGCAAATGCACACTGTATTTATTTACCCAGAACCTTGTGTGTACTAGCAAGCTCTCTACCACTGAGCATATCCCAAGCCCACAAATGCATTTCAGAATCACAATAAATGCAAATCAATAAGATGAAAAAAGAAAAAAAATCTATAATTTTCCAACCCTAGAAAACAACCACAAATTAGTTTTTGTTTTTTATGCTGACTTATTTTTCTCTGTAAATATGCAAATATTTATTCACGTATCTAATCATAATTTGCTCAGATCTTAAAAAGTTTTCTCTAATCATACTACCTAAACTGTCATCATTGTCAAACACTGAAGGTGTACTTTTAGTTCTATTTTCTCAAGCCTTTTGTTTTCAATCATGAATAAGTGTTGAATTTTATCACTTTTTGGTACTGTTGAGATAACCTTATTTTCTTCTGAATTTTTTAATACAGTAAGTCGTACTGGCTGATATTCTAATTTTAATTCTAGTTTGCACTTACAAAGTCTAATTTTAGTCCAAGTCTACAACATTCCTACAATAAATCTAATTTGGTCATAATTCTTTCATATATTGCTGTATTTGACTTGGTGTTTCAATTTCTTAAAGTGATATGCATGAAACAAACTGGCTTGTAAAACTTAAGACAACCTTGTTAAGTTTTAGTAATGAGGTTATGCTTCCTTGAAGAATTTGAAAAGTAACCTTTCTTTTTTACTACTATATAGACAGTTTAATAGCAAGACTGATTTTATTTATTCCTTAACTATTTAGAGAAGTTCAATTAATCAAAAGAAGAAATTATAATGGAAATTAGAAAATATTTTGAACTGAATGATAATGAGAATATAAGTTACCAAAATCTGTGGGATACAGTTAAAGCTGTACTTAAAGAAACAGAAACCCAGTCGTTTACATCAGGCAGCAGCCATCAGGTAGGCCAAGATGGGTGCATACAATTACATCCAGGAGCTGTGGAGGAAGAAGCAGTCGGACCCGATGTGCTTTCTGCTAAGGGTGTGATGCTGGCAGTACCGCCAGCTCTCAGCGCTGCACAGGGCTCCCTGTCTTACCTGGCCAACATAGTGCGCTGCCTGGGATACAAGGCCAAGTAAGGTTATGGCATATACAAGATTCAGGTGCCCTGTCGTGCTGCAAATGCCTAGTTCCTAAGGGTACAACTTACAGCAAGAGTACAATGATGTCAACCAGCTGAAGTTTGCATGAAGCCTTCAGTCTGTTGCCGAGGAGCAAGCTAGACATCATTGTGGGGCTCTGAGAGTACTGAATTCTTACTGGGTTTGTGAAGATTCCACATACAAATTCTTTGAGATTATCCTTATGATCCATTCCATAAGGCTATCAGATGAAATCCTGACACCCAGTGGATAACCATACCAGACCACAAGCATAGTGAAATGCATGGGCTGACACCTGCAGGCTGCAAGAGTCGTAGCCTTGGAAAGGGCCACAAGTTCTACCACACTATTGGTGGTTCCCACCATGCAGACTGAAGAAGGCACAATATTCTCCAGCTTCACTGTTACTACTAATAAAAGCAGTATTTGTAAAATTCACCTAATAAACAATTTAGGACAGTCATGTCTGCTTAAAGGTGTTATCTGTCTGTTAAAATGAGTTTGCAGATTATTTCATGAATGCTTTGTCAAGTTAGGGAAGTACAAGAATGTTTGAAGATTTAAGTGATAGTGTATCTTGTTTCTAATAAGGTAAACATTTTTGTCTTTGTTTTATCTTACTAGGGTGTTATGTCAGTGTTTTGAACATGCTGTGTGGTGTAAAATAAATTCTTACAAAGTTCAGTGCTGAAACTAGCTCTGTAGATTTGTTCAGTACATGTGATGAAACTTACAGCTTTATTGGGATGATGCAATGTTCTGCTGGTTTAAAGTGGCTGAGCTTTTAGAGATTGGCAGGTACAAACTTAATACTGGAGTTTGCTTAGAGATTTTTAGGAGAGGAGTATATTCTAACCAGATAACATGATTGTATGCAGAAAAGTAATTGCTACTTCTGAAAGAGAAGTTTCCAAAATACCACAGTTTTCAGAAGAATCAAATAAACCTGTTGGAAGAGGTCTCTAAAATCTAGATTAGCCTCTGAAAATCTTGGGTCTCCACAGTACCATGGAAGTTAACAAGGGTTGAAAGCTGGTTCAGTTATATTACTTCAGGGGATCTAGAATCTTGAATTTGATACACAGCAGTCAGTGGTAACACTGTTGGACATTGAGCAGATAAGAATTATCTATTTTAAGATTTGTAACATAGTAGCACAAGCTAAGGTGGGAAGCTGCTAAACCAGTGGCTGTTCAATTTATATGTTCCAAGTGTGAGTTCAGAAACTTCAGCCTGAGTTCAGAAACTTCAGCTTGAATCAAGATTTTAAAATACCCATAACTATAGTTGATGACCATTAAGAAGTCATATATTATTGACTGTGTATAGAGGTTGTTCAACTAAAGAAATAAATATCTATTAAACTAAAACAAGGGGACCTTATGTTATCTTTTCTCATCTAGTTCTAATGTGCTTTGAAGCAAACAAAGTAATTGCAAAAACAACACTGGCAGAAATATTTTGAGGGAAAATAAAAAATGTTTTACTTAAAAAAAAAGAAACAAACAAAAAACAGTAAATATAGTAATAAGCAAACTTTTAAAGGAGGATTAAAAATCAATGATCTAGCCTGACATAGTGGTGTACACCTGTAATCCCAGCACACAAGAGGCAGGAGGATCAAGAGTATGAAGCCCAGCTTGGGCAATACAGCAAGTTCCAAGGTAGCCTAGGCTACATAGTGAGACCTTGTCTAAAAAAAACCCCCAAAGGGAGCCAGGCATAGTGGCTCGTGCTTATAATCCCAGATACTTGGGTGGTGGAGATCAGAAGGACTATGATTTAGGGCCAGTCTGGGCAAAAAGTTAGTAAACCCCATCTCAACCAATAAGTTGAGTGTGGTGGTGTGGGCCTGTTATCCCAGCTACTGTGGGAGGCATAAGTAGAAGAACTGCAGTCCAGACTGGCCTGGGCAAAAATGAAAGACCCTAAAATGCAAGATCCTATTTGAAAAATAACTGAAAGCAAAAAGGGCCAGGGATATGGTGCAAGTGGTAGAGCACCTTCCCAGGAAGCATGAGGCCCTGAGTTCAAACCCCAATACTGCATCCTTCCCTCCCAAACCCCCAAAGGGGTGGGGAACCAATGATCTACAGATCTACATTCTTATCTCAAGAAATTAGAAAGTAGGAGGAAAGGAATAGAGCAAACATCAATGAACTGAAAAACAAGCATACAAAGAAAAAACAACAATGCCAAAAGTTGATTATTGTAAAAAGCAACTAGAATTAATTAGCTGGGTATCAGGGGCTCACACCTGTAATCCTAGCTACTCAGGAGGCAGAGATCAGGAGGATCACAGTTTGAAGCCAGCCCAGGAAAATAGTGTGCAAAAAAAACCTATCTTGAAAAAACCCATCACAAAAAAGGGCTGGTGTAATGATTCAAGGTGTAGGCCCTGAGTTTAAACCCTACTACCACAAAAAACAAACAAACAAAAAAACCACAACAAAAACACATAAAAAGAACTGACAGACCTTCAGCAAGAACAAGAAAAGATAGAGAAGTCACAAATGAGTAATATCAGCAATGAAAAGGAGGGTATATTAATATACATCCTGATAATAATACATTAGAGAAAAGAAAACCCATCACATGAAATACAACATCTGCATAATCCTGTTTCTACAAAAAGAACCCCAATCTGAAGTTTGAAAACCTTTTCCACAGTAACAGATGGCTTCACTGGTGAAAGTTCCAAACTCGGCAACTATGTATAGATAAGTATAATATGAGCTACTCTATGTTGCATATAGCTACTCTCTGCCATTCTGCTGTTACAGTTCCATGTCTTGGTGTGGAAATACCGTCACTAGTCAGTGACAGTTCACTTTTCAAGTAAAACATCCTTGAGAGTCAATACCTTGTTAACTTTATATCTTAGTTATCTATTAACAGTTTAATAGATCTGATGGGAAGAATGACACACAAGACAACACCTGAAATTTAGGAACTTTTCAGAGTAAAGAGCAGCAAAACAGGAGGTGTTAGGAAACCAAAGATAATCAGTCACCATGACAGGACTGATGGGGGTTACATGAAATCATCTTATAAGACCCTTTCTATGGATATATAACTATGGCAGTGGAAGAAGGTCTTAATTAGTGCCAGAAAACAGGAGACAGAGAAGTGACAAGTAGGCTGCAGGTTAAAACAGATTTGTGTACTAAGCC